GGGGAAGATACAAGAAGGAAAAATTGGATAAGGTAGAATTTTTAAAATGTATGATTAGGAGTGAAGATGAGGTAAAGGAGATAGTCAGAGGGGAAAAATGGTGGAGGATAAGTGTAGAGACATAATGAATTTGATGAAGAGAGGAATTGAGGAAAATTATTGTAGCGGCTGGCTTCGTGATTTTCAAGCGATCATTGTAAGTGCAAAAGGCCAGCACGGTTTACGACGTATACGGTCAAAACGGCTATTTTTGAGGATACCGTTAGATTTTCTCGAGGCATGTTTTGTAGTTTTTCGTCAACGGTCTCAATAGCTACGTACGGCATCATAAACCGGGGATTTCCGAAGGGACCACGGTTCCGGGCTTGGCGGTCCCTGACCGTGCAGGGGAGCGGTAAGTGGTCACCGGGAAATCCCGCTGCATTGCCAAATTTGTCGTTTGGAAGACACCCCCACCAAGGGATGTAAGAGGTGTCGAGAAAACGCATCAAGGGTGCAGAGAGCAGTTCTTAACAACCCTTCGCGCTTAGCACCTCATCCTTTGAAATAAAGATTCGCTCCGACTTGATAAAAAACTTAGACATTTTTGTATTCACCCACCAACTCCTAAAATCCCCAAATCCCTATATTCCCAAATCCCTATATTGCCAAATCCCTATATCCCCAAACCTTAAATCCCCAAACCTTAAATCCCCAAATCTCCAGATCCCCAAATCTTCAAATCCCTAAATCCTCAAATGCCCAAATCCCCACATCCCCAAATCCCCAAACCTCCAAACCCCAAGTCTCCAAATCTTCAAATCCCTAAATCCTCAAATCCCAAAATCCCCAAAATCCCAAAAATCCCAAAAATCCTCAAAACCCCCAAAATCCCAATAATTCCCAAAAACAGCCAAGGACCTCTATTGCTGATCTCTCGTACCAACGATTCGAGGCATGCAAAAAGATGCCCGACAGCACGATCAAGAAAGGACAAGACACGCGTGGTATAAGAAAAACAAGATCTACGGAGGATGAAAGTGAAGGTGAGCAGAGAACCGTTCGTTTCGTTGCAAAATCTAGCATCGGCGGTAAAAGGACAAGAACCTCGTAATTCGGCTCGTACGTCATCGCTTTCTAACGATTATGATGTCACGACGGGACGCGGCAACGCGTCATTGACGTAAATGGGCCGACTAGGTGCATGCGTACGAATAAAAACATTTAACTACGGCTGAAGTGCTCTGAAAGCCTTTTAATAACGCATCGAACTGTTTTTAATGGACGATCGATGTAACACTTCATTTTTGCCATTGGGGGGGGGGGGGGAGATACAAGAAGGAAAAATTGGATAAGGTAGAATTTTTAAAATGGATGATTAGGAGTGAAGATGAGGTAAGGGAGATAGTCAGAGGGGAAAAAAGGGTGGAGGATAAGTGTAGAGACATAGTGAATTTGATGAAGAGAGGAATTGAGGAAAATTATAAAGGAGGGAACAGGGGGAGAGAACGGGAAAACAGGGGAAATGTAAATGGGAATGTAAGTAGGAATAGGGATAGGAATGGAGGGGAGAGAAGGAAAGAGAAAAGACAGCCGTGGTTGGATGAGGAGTGTGAGGAACTGAAGGAGGAAAGAAGGAAAGCGGTGAAGGAAATGGGGAAAAGGCCAACGGAAGAGAATTGGAATAAACTCAAAGAAGCAAGAAAAAAGATGGAGGAAGCGGTCAAAAGAAAGAAGAAGAAGGCATGGGAAGATTTTGCCAAAAGTATAAAATACAAAGGCAATGTAGGAGAAATGTGGAAGAGGGTTAGGAGCTTGGCGAAAGGAGTGGCGGCAGAAGACCAAAGAAATATCGGAATATGGGAAATCCAGAAGCTGGAGGAGGAGGAGGTAAGGAAATTAGAAGAATCAGAATATTGTTGTAGATGCGAAGAAGGGGAGAGAGAGGAGGAGGATGCGGAAAGAGAAGAGGAGGGGACTATGGAGGCTGAAAGGAATGATGGAGAAGAAACTGCAGGAATAGAGGAGGAGGAAGAGGAGTGGATTGTAAGAGATTTCGAGATGGAAGAATTGGAGGAGGCGTTATCCAGAGTTAAGGGCAAGGCAGCGCCGGGAGAGGATGGTATTGGGTATGATATTATAAAACTATGGACTATGGGATGGAAGGAAGCGATGCTGGAGCTGTATAATGAGATATGAAGAAAAGGAAGTATACCGGGGATATGGAAAAAAGCCATAGTGAAGTTCATTCCGAAACCACAAAAAAGAGCTTTAAGACCAATTTCATTAATGAATTGTCTAGGGAAGCTGCTAGAAAGGATGGTGAACGAGAGAATGAGAATTTGGGCGGAAGAGGAGGACAAAATGGATAGAAATCAGAACGGGTTCAGAAAGGGAAGATTAACGATGGATAATATTGGAATACTAATTAACAATATTAAGGAGAGCTGGGGGAAGGGGAAGATAGTGATGGTTGCGTTCGTTGATGTAAAATCAGCGTATGACAATGTGAATCATGAAGAAATAATTAGGAGATTGAGAGAGATGGGTTGTCCGAGGAGACTGGGAAAGTATATAGATGCTTGGTTGAGGGAAAGGAAGGTGGAAATTAGAAATGTAGACGGTAGGGCTATCCTGATGAGATTGTTGAAGGGATTACCGTAGGGGTCAGTCCTTAGCCCGTTGTTGTATAATTTGTATACGACAGGGATAGTGGAAGGGATGAGAGAAATGGAGGTTCGCATATTACAGTATGCGGATGACATAGTTATATATGTAGAGATACAAGATAGAAGGGAAGGCAAGAGGAAAATAGAGATGGCAATGAGTAAGTTAAAAGGAAATTTGGAAAACTTAGGGTTGGGTATTGCAACAGAGAAGACACAAATTGTAACATACGTGGGCAAGAGAAAGAGAGGTAGGGGTGGGAATGAAGAGTTTAACATCGAGGGAGAGAGAATTAAGGGAGTGGGAGCGGCGAAATTTCTGGGGATGTGGCTGGATGAGGCACTAGACTTTAGGAGGCATACAGAGTACGTAGTATCAAAATTGAAGAAAAGAATGAACATTCTAAAATGCATTGGGGGCATTAGGAAGGGAACGGAGCCGGAAACGATTATTAAGATATTCAAAGCGTTGATTAGGTCGGTAGTCGAATATGGGGGGCAGTTCTGTATTAAGGATAAGAGGAATAGGGAGAAGGTACAAAAGATACACAATGCGGGTATTAGAATAGCGATGGGATATAGACTGTCGATACCGATTAACGTTATGGAAACAGAAGCGGGAATAATGGACCTGGAGACGAGGTTAGAGACACTGGTGGAAGGATATGTAGCAGGGAAGTTTTGGATGAGGGATAATGAGGTGATAGAGGCGATAGAGAATAGAATAAAGTATGGGGTTCCGGAGGAAATAGAGGAGGGAAGGGATATGGTGGTGGATGGTGGACGCATGGAGAAGATTGGAAGAGAGGAGGGTAGGAATGTATAGGAGAAACAAGGAGGAGTATGCTGGTAGGTGGAGAAATTATAGGATGGAGAAATGTATAGAATTGGAACTGGGCAAGGGGTATGCAAATTCAGGAATGAAGGAAGAGGCACTGGTAGGGGAGTTAAAGCTGAAGCTGTTCGCAGAGACGGAAGGGGTGATAGAAATATATACAGATGGATCTAAGATAGAGGGTAGAAGGAATGGGGGAGGTGCGATTGTTATGAGGAGAGAAGACAGGGGATGGGAAGAGGAGATATATTTACAGCGCCGAGAGAGTGCTCGGTATACACGATTGAGATGATTGCAATAGGAAGAGCGATAGAAGTTGCGAATAGAAAGTATGGAGAAAAGAAGGTGCTGATATTGTCAGACTCAATGAGTGCAGTAGGAAAATTGGCTGTGGATAGGAGAGGATATGATGAGGGAGATATGATAGGCGGAATAAGGAATAGTATAAAGAAAAGGAATTTCAGGGAAGAGGGAGAGGTGGAGAATGATAGGAAGGTTGCGATAACATGGATTCCGGCACATGTGGGAATTGAAGGGAATGAGAGAGCAGACAGGGCAGCGAAGGAAGCAACGGGGGGCGATGCGGATTTTTGGGGGAAGTATACGTTGAAGGATTATAAGAGAACGATGAGAGAGAGAGGATGGATGAGATCTAGGGAGAAACACCTTAGACAGGGTGAATATAAAGGTAGGAAATATTATGAGGCGGAATGGAATAATGTGGGAAAGGAGTTCCCATGGTTCAAGGGTATAGGGGCAGCTAGAAAGAAGTACTGTATGTAGTATAAATAGGATCAGGGCAAATCACTATAACCTAAAGTGGTCACTCTTTAGGAAATATATGGTGGAAGACCCTTATTGTAATACATGCGATAGAGTAGAGGATTTAGACCACGTTATGTGGGAGTGTGAGAAGTATGAGAGTGAGAGAGGAGGGTTTGTGAGGAGAATGAGAGCGTGTAAAGTGGATGAAGGGAAGGAGTTTTTTCAAACCAAAGAGATGGGAGATTTTAGGGTGATAAGACTGATAGGTGCATTCATAAAAAAATGCGGCCTGAAACTGTGATAATAAAGAATCATAATGAAAGCTTAGGAGGTTTTATAATAGAAAAGAGAAATAGATATGTATATTTTTGTAAGAATTATATACTCGCTAAAAAAGTATTAATAGTGTTTAAGGATATTTGGAAAAGTTATGAGGAAGATAAAAAAGACTGTAGATGTAAGAATAGAGATATATTTATATGTATATTTATATTTATGTACAGGCATATGCCAAGGGTTAAAGAAATAGATATGAGAGTGAGTTGTATGAAGGAGCGAGAGAGTGGGATGAAGGGATGAGGAGCGAGGAGGAGTGGGAAAGAGAGTGTGCAATGAAGTTGGCTGTGGGAGAGCTCGGGGCGAGAACAGAGATGGCGCTGATATGTAATAGTATGTGGGGACTGAGGTTCGCGAAGGAGAACCTGGTGTAGGAAATGACGTACGACGACTTTTTTCGCTATTTGCAAGGATTGTACTTTTTATTAAGACGCGCACGTGCTGACTCTTTTTCTTTCGTACAAGAAGTGGAAGAACGACGTTCTTCTTTTTCGCGCCGCGTTCCTTATAAACTAGTCTTACCAACTACTATTTACAACTTAACCTAAGAAATAAAAAGTAACTAAAAATAGGAACTGTCCAGAGGGCGCATGTGACGCTGTCGGTACAGTCGCCACAAGTATGTAATGATATATGTAGGCGCAATGAGCCGTAGTACGGCCAAAGACGCCATCTTCAGTGGAAGAGAATAAAAAACCTTAAACCTTAAACCTTCATTACGACTGAAACTCCATGGCGTCTCCCGCCGTTGGCGTCATACCAACCTGCGAGAAGCATGAGTACAAGCCCTAAGGTTTAGGCTTGCGATACCAGCGCCACACTAGGAACTATGTGTCGTAGTAGTAAGGTTTAAGGTATTTTGGCCACAAACTGGCTCATTACGCCTCTACATCGATCCTACATTACATCAGTCTTCTTGTGGCGCCTCCACTGATCACATTTCACAACTACTCCATTTTCGCTCTCTCTCATCTCCCGAATCTGCACTCGGTCTCTTTCTCGACCCCCCCTCCAATTACTTGTCGACTTCACGTCATACATATATCACATACTATATTATATATCCTCGCTGTATACAATATACGAGGTCTGTCCCAAAAGTATCCGACCTTCCTTCATATTTCTCTGCTGGTGTTATCCTGCGTCATCAGGCTGGTGGCATCCTTCGAAGTAGTCCCCTATTGATTGTAGAATACTCTGCCAACGACCTTTCCACTTATGGAAACAGTCCTGGAACTCGTTTTTCGGAATAGCCTTTAGAGCTTTCGTCGTATTAGTTTCGACCGTTTCTTTATCGTCGAATCGGTGTCTTTTGAGTGGCATTTTCAATCTTCGAAACAACCAAAAATCGTAGGAAGCTACATCAGAACTGTACGGAGGCTGATGGAGCTGTATGACTTTGTGCTTCGTCAAATATTGTTGCACAAGATTCGATGCATGCGCTGGTGCGTTATCGTGATGAAGAAGCCAATCACCGCTTGACTAAAACTGAGGCCAAAACTAGTTTTCGGTATTGCAAGATCACATTCTAGTTCTCGCACAGTCAATCGACGATTTTTGTTGATCGCAAGTCGCAATATTATTAGGTCTTGATCGCAAGTCGCACACGTTCGATATTATTAGGTCTTGTTGTCGTGGAAGGCCGCCCAGAGCGTAGGTTATTATCAACAGATGTGCGGCCATCTTTGAACCGCTTATACCACTCTTTGATTTGTGTGTTCCTCATATACTCATCCCCAAATGCCTTCTTCATCATATCGATGGTTTCCGCACAAATTTTTTCGAGTTTTAAGGAAAATTTGATGCAAATTCGTTGCTCCGATCTTTCCCTCATTTTTCACAACAGCGGAATGTGACGAACGTAAAAAACGCTCCGTAAAGAAATGCACGTTGCACATGAACTAAGGCGTCCCGACGAAAACTGCGATATCGTGGGAGTTCGTAAAGCTTTGCAGTTGATAGTCATACCCGGCAAATGACGCTAAAATTGTCAGGTGCGAAGAAATTAAAGAAGGTCGGATACTTTTGGGACTGACCTCGTATAAACTCCGTACAATATATATAACATATATAAAAAACATAATAAATATATATCTCTACTATAACAAATATATATCTCTACCTCTATAAACTACTCGCAAACCATACATTGCATACCGTCCACAGCATACATTTACATATACTATTTGTCATAACTTCACTCCGCATTTTTTAATGAAGGCACCCATCAGTCTTAAGGGGGGAAATACCTTTAGAATCTTAAAAAATAAAAAATTTTTTTTTTCCATAAAATGTTAGTGTAGGACAGTGATAATGGTCGTGCCGCAAACGTACCGCGAAGTTTCGAGAACGAAAACATAAACCGCCGTCGAACAAATTCGTTGCCGGCGAGCGTGTCGTTCCGGGTATGGGTGCGAGTGCGAGAAAGAGTGTGAGAGAGAGAGAGAGAATGAAAACGCGGCGAACGTTGAGAAACGATCGCGAGGCTTCGAGCAATCGAAGACTCGCGAAACGTTCGAATGACGAAATTCGGGAATGTTCGACGGACAAGTAAATATAAGGGTGTGTCCGCGGTGCGAAAGGTAGAAGCTAAGAGCAAACAACGGGTGACGAGCGAGTGTGCGACGATTACGATCTTTATCACGGTTACGATTTACGGTTCACGATTACGGCTTACGATTTTACGAATTACGGATTTTTGGACTTTTGGACTTTTGGACTTTT